ATCAGACCGGGACTTGTAGGTTTGTGGAGCCCGAACGAAGAGTGGCGTTTCAGTTGAACCACCAACAATTCTTCCACAAGGATAGCTCGGCACGGTCTTTAAGTACCTCACGCGATTTTCAAAACGCACTGTGTGTACGAGCTTGGCGCGTGGAGGATCCGTTGTGCCAGCTTCGTCCCGGCTCTACATCTACTCAGTTGATGTCGAGACCCCCACCCCCTACATTTTGTCACCCTAAACCCCTAAACCCTACACCCTAAACCCTAAACCCTACACCCTAAACCCTAACCCCCAAATCCCTAAACCCTTAACCCTAAACCGCCTAAATCCTGAACCCTTATACCATGAGTATAGCAGAAGTCAGCATGGGTAGGTGCCGAGAGGTGGTCGCGGGAAGCTGTTTTCAAAGCCTCGCCACAGCGAAGCCAGAGGGTTTAGGGTTTAGGTTACCCATAAAAAGGAATAATATAGGGTTTAGGGTTTAGGGTTTAAGGTTTAGGGTTTAATTCCCATAGTTTACGGTCCTTGAGGTGGTGCAGGATTTGTATCATCAAGCGCGTCAGAACTGACAGCTGCCCGTGAAACTGGAGCGCTTGCCAAAACCGAAGCCCTAAAACGCTAAAGCCTGAAGCCCCATATCATACTAAACTACACGTTAAAACCCAAAAAAAAACATAAGACCCAAAAGCCCTAAGTAAACTCCAAAGCATACACCCTGACCCAAAACGAAACCCAGAGCCCTGAGGCCTAAAATAATTCCCCAAAGCTTCCAAAACCCGGGGCATCTTAGAGCTCTGTGCTTCTTTTCAAGAACCGGACCCGAAAAAGTCCATCAAACTTTCTGATGATGTACCATGAAGTTCTCCCATTGCCTATCTAAGGAAGTGCCCTCAACCCTAAACCCTAAAACTAAACCCGAAATCAGATGATGCAAAAGCTCTAGTCTGAAGCCTGCGCATCTTAACGCTCTCTTCTTCAATTAGGGTTTAAGGTTCAGGGTTTAAGGCCGGCAGGCTTAAAGTTCTCCTATTGCATATCCAAGGAAGCGCGCTACACCCTGTAAACCCCAAGTCACCCAAAAGCTCTAAAACCCAGCGTATCTTGAAGCCAAGTGACCACCGATGGCAGCACCGCCTACTGCTGCAACAGTCTCCAAACTGGTCTCCACACTGGTCCTGCATTCGAAGCTTTCAGGGTCTCTTCGTGTACAAGGATTCCTTAAGGGATCTGTCAGGGCTCCTTTAAAAGAACCCATTGTGGTTCCTACAGAATTTTGAGGCTTTGGATTTAGCGTTTCCCGAAAAAAAAGCGAAAGACTTACAGTACAGTATTGGTGTTCGTTTTGTCAAAACTTCTGCGTACCTTCTCAAAAAGGGATGCTGTAGGGGCCTTCATAATTAGAATAGGGTTTTGGGGCCCATCATACTAGAATTAAAATAAGGAACCCTCGAAATGATATCAGTAATTATTCAGGCCCCTACTTTAGGGGTTGGGATTTTGGGTCTACGTGAGACCTGGCACCGCTAAATCCGACGGTTTGATTAAACAATGTTGGACTTCGCGCCTGTAGTTCCACAAGCGCTACACCCGAAACACAAAACCCTGTAGCTACAGATCCCTCAAAGGAACTCTTACGTGCCGTCGATGATATAAATCCCGCATTACCTTAAGGGCCTCTAAACTATGGGAACTATGGTATGTTCTTTATTATGGGTGATGCAGGATTTATATCATCAACCGTAGTAACCTTACATGAACCCTTAGAGGAACCCTGAACTCCTAAACCCGAAACCCTAAACTCTAAACCCCAAACCCTTAAAGCGTAAACCCTGAACTAGAAACCCTAAACGCCTAAACCCTAAACCCCTAAACCGTAAACCCGAAACCACGAACCTGATGAGGTCCCCATCGGTCCTGTCCCTCTTCTCCCTTTCCTGGACTGTCTCGTTGCCCTGCATGTCGGGTGCCGGCGTCCCTCCACCAGAGCCTCTACCTAGAGGGATGTCTTGTACTTAAAGGATCACGGGACTTAGTAGGGGTTATAACTACGGTAACTATACTTATAACCCCCATTAGGGGACTTATAACCTTACATACTAAGTCCCATGATCCTCCAAGTAGAGGGATGTCTTATAGGGCCTTCATTATAAAGGGCTGTAGGGTTTCATATAGGTCTTGCCGGGCTCTGTATTTTTTTTTGATTTTCTACGGGCTTTGTGGATGTATCTAGGGCTTTACGGCGTTTTGGGTGTAGTACCTGGGCCCTGCAAGCCCCAGCTCTTTGAGGGTTTAGGGGTCAGGGTTTAGGGTTTAGGGTTTAGGGTTTAGGGTTTAGGGTTTAGGGTTTAGGGTACATATGGAGATCATAGGTTATTTGGGGTTTACGTAGGGTAGATATTCTGGCGCTTGGAGGTTTTCACCTTGCGTTCCACCAACCTCTCCTCGGTTCAGATATTTATGTTTTGGGGTTATGGTGTATACCTTATAAATATGACCTCAACAGCTACATACGAGTTCGCAAGGGTCGGAGTGACAGATCATCCATGGGCTCGATACCACAGAGAGTTCTACAGGCACGAAGGGTATGTATGTATGTATGTATGTATGTATGTATGTATGTATGTATATATATATATATAAATGTATGTATGTATGTATGTATATATATATATATACTATGATTTATGGTTTCTCAGGGTGTCCAATAGAGCGTTGGGATTTCCGAGAAGAGGGCTGTATAGTTCTGGGTTCACGGATTTAGGATTGGTAGCCGCACGAGAGGTTTATCCTAAACCCTAAACCCTAAACCCTAAACCCTAAACCCTAAAGGGACGTT